GTCGCCAACAACCAGAACCTGCGCACACGACGACAAGGCGTGGTACAACTTCAGTCACGAGAAACAAGGTCTTAATCGCAGAAGGTCTCGGCTACAACTTACTAAGCGTCAGTCAGTTGATGGCGAAAGGCATCCACCTCGAAGCAGACAGCACCACCCAGGAATTCCGGCTGTTCCACGGAAAGGGCGGCCTCTACATCGGAAAGGCGATCCTCAAGAACAACGTCTTCGTTCTTGACTTCGTACCAGACCTTGGCACCGCTGACAGCGACGGCATCGTCAGCTTTGCTCCTTGGACACATCCTCCAGATCTTGACCCAGACTTCAGCCCCGGCGGCTTCTGGCACTCACACACCATTCCTGAAGCAGAGAGAACAAGGGCGTTAGCAACAATTCAACAAACATCGGCAGCAGCAGAGACAACATCGGCAGCAACAGAGACAACATCGGCAGCAGCAGAGACAACATCAACAGCAGCAGAAACAACATCAGCAGCAGCAGCGACAACATCGATACCAATCGCTGGTCTTTCAACGACACCAATCTTCATCAACGATTCGCCACCGACACCCGCACAACAGTTAAAACCGGCACCACGAGAAGTCCACCGAAGCACCAACGTCACTGCCGGCTTCTACTCCAACTCGGATCTGTATCGACGGTCACCCGGACATCGCGCCACTGAAGGTACCTGGCACGCAAGAATGGGACATCCGAGCCACACCGTGTTAAATAACACGATAAGAGCAGGAGTGCTCGACAAAGACTCACTTCTACTGACCGACGGCAGAGAACTTCAACGAGCACGTGGAACGTGCTTCACTTGCCCTGAAGCTGACTTACCGCATCAGCCGTTCGTCTCGCATCACAATCCAAGCGCACCTGCGTACACACCTCTCGAAAAGGTGTACAGCGACATCTTATACAACCGTGAACCCGGACAAAACGCCTACAGCTACACCATCACCTTCATCGACGCCGCAACCCGATATGTCTGGCACCTAAACCTTCCAAGTCGCGACATGGCTTTCGAAGCCTTTGTCGCCTGGCTTCCAGTCGCAGAACGGGAATCGGGAGCTAAACTCAAAAGCTTCCAGTCAGACGGGGGAGGAGAATACACCTCACAGAGGTTCAAGCAGTACTTGGCAGAAAGAGGAATCAAGAGGCTCATCTCCCTTCCCTACGCTCACCAACAGCAAGGCGTAGCAGAAAGGATGAACAGGACGCTGCAAGCCACCATGCGCAAGCTGCTACGTGGCATGCACCTGCCCAACCACCAGTGGCCCGAAGCGATGGACCACGCCGTAATGCTGCACAACTTGCTTTCGTCATCATCGCTCCCGAACAACGCATCACCGCATCTGCTGTGGACAGGGAAATTGGGCAGCACAAAAATGTTGCGAGTGTTCGGCTGCATGGTACAGTACCGACCTCCATCTGCACGAGCTGGGCGATTCTCTCAACGCGCACAGTGGGGACTACACCTGGGCATCGCAAAACATTACAACGCGTGGAAAATTTTCGACATCAACAGCAAAGAAACAGTAGCAGCACGTGATGTCATCTTCTACGAACACCTCACCCTCGCAACTCACCTCATGTACATCGAAGAAAACCGACTTGACCTCTCGGGCGGATTTCATGGGCACCGAGCCTTCGCCTCGGCAGAAGACGAAGCTGACTGGGACGAGCAGAACGTGGAGGGAGCCTCGGAAGCAGCCGGACCTCTCCCTTACTGCTCCGTGGACATCCCAATGGACGAAGACAATCCTCGCGAAAGCGTCAACGCCGAAGTCTTCTACGAATTCGCCGACAACGGTTACGTTACACCTGCACGGGTCAACACCAACGAAGCAGAACGAGTAGGACCAAATTTCAATCCAACACCGGAAACAGGAGACGAAGCTGTTTATCCCGAGGATACCACACTCCCCCGCTACTCACAGAGTGGACTGCAAATTCTCGGCCTCGTCACCGCAGTCCACGGCTCAGCCATTCCTAAAGAGCCTGCGACTGTTCAACAGGCTCTGGGGGGGGAACACAAGGAGAAATGGCGTGAAGCCATGGACAGAGAATTAAAAGCGCTGGAGGAACGGAACACCTGGAAAATCGTTCCCATCAGCGTGGCAAGAAACAAGACCATTCTCACCGGGAAATGGGTCTTCCGCGTAAAGACGAAAGCTGACGGCACCATCGACAAGTTCAAAGCACGATGGGTCGTGCGCGGCTTCGACCAAGAACAAGGACGGGACTTCACCGAGACATTCGCCCCGGTTAGCCGACACACCTCACTCCGAATTCTTCTCGCGATCGCCGCCATGAAAAGGAAGAAGCTGCGGCAAATCGACGTCGCCAACGCCTTTCTCTACGCACCCGTTGACGCAGAGATCTTCGTGGAACTACCGCACGGCACCAACGGAGAGCCGAACAAGGTCTGTCAACTACTGAAATCGCTCTACGGGATTAAGCAAGCCCCGCGGCTATGGCAGCAGTACCTACACGCCCGTCTCATCCGCATCGGTTTCAAATAACTACCCCACGATCAAAGGATGTACCGGCTCACGAAGAACGACGACTACGTCCTGCTAATCGTCTATGTAGACGACCTCCTCTACATCGGCTCGACCGACGACCACCTGGTTCGAAGGGGAGCTGCAGCAAGACCTCACGCTTACGGTTTCATCTACCGTCACACAATATCTCGGGCTCAACATTCGAGAAGAGGACGACGCAATCTACCTCAGCGCCGCAAAATACGCCGACACTATCGCCAAGCGTTTCGCCTTCACACCGACCGCGATCTCCACGCCATACCGTTACACGACAGGAGCCGACAAGGGAGGATCTACTCTACTGAAGCCCGCCGGCATACGCGACTACCAGAGAAAGTTGGGCTGTCTTCTCTTCGCAGCTGTCACCTGCCGCCCCGACCTCTCATATTCCGCAAGCCAGCTCGCTACCTACCTCAAAAGGCCTGAAACAGAACACCTGGCGGAGCTCGACCGCGCTCTTCACTACCTCGTCAGCACTCCAACGATCGGCTTAACGTATCACAAGAACGCAACTACACCAACCAAGCTAATCGGCTATGTCGATGCCGACCACGCCGGTGACTCCGACAATAGGCGCTCCCGCACCGGCTACATCTACCGACTCGAGCCTATCGGTCCTATCTCCTGGCAGTCGAGTAAGCAAGAACTAATCGCCCTCTCATCAGCTGAAGCAGAATATATCGCACTCTGCTCAGCCACCAAGGAAGGACTTTACCTTCGCGAGCTGCTGGAAGAAGCGAAGTTGGCCGAGTTACCTAATTTCACTCTGTTCTGCGACAACCAATCTGCAATTCGCATCGCCAACAAAAGTGGCTTCGCGAACAGAACGAAACATATCGCCCTGCGATATTTCTTCGTGAAAGACGAGATCGAGAAGGGGAGACTTGAACTATCCTACTGTCCCACGTCCGAGATGGCAGCCGACTATTTGACCAAGAAGCTCGGAAAGCAGAAGTTCGAGTACTGCATGCTGCTGACTGGACAAGGCCACGTCACCAGCAGCGACACTCCAGAAGCGAAGGGGAGTGTTGGAAACAAGTAATTCCTAAAGCGCCTCTGTCGTGTCGAAACATCACACCAGAAGCGAAGCGAGTCATATCGAGGCACGAGCGAGTCAACCCTCGGAGGTTGAAAGAGGTTGCCGGAGGTTACGCGAAAGTCAAAGGTCAGCGACCTTTGACCTGACAAGTACAGTACGACAGCAAGGACACACAACCGACTCGTTACAGAGCGGTTGCCCGAGTCGTTACTGTATCGAACCGCAACAGCAACAGTAAAGTAGTTACAACTGCATCCTTTCATATTCCTTGTACTCATATATAAACGCTTGTATTCCCTTGCTTTAACCAACTTACTTTGCTCTCACACACCAGTGCAAGGTGGTTCACAAGTCTTCATTAAAACGCTTCCGCTATTACAATAGTCCTACCCCGAATTTACCCCTGCAAAAGATCCTAAGGGCCTTTTCTCAGCCCAACAGTTACAAGCCAGAAGTACACTGAAATTTCAGTGTTTGTACAAGAAACCTGCCTGAAAAAACAGTCCTACCATAGAAAAAAACACTTTTCAATCAGCCTAGGGGAAAAAAAAAACCCTGAAAAAAAAAAAGCGTTTCAAGGCCAAATCAGCGTTTTTTTCCTGACTTCTGGGGGCCGTAAACTCGCCTTGTGGCCGCTTGCTTGTGCTCGGAATGCGTGGTGATCTTGAGATCCACCCCGAGCTTTGCTTTGTTTTGCTTCTTCTCTGAACTGGTCTTGTGACCATTGCTTGCTCTGGCTATCCCCCACTTCGCCTATGGGGGTGTGTCAAACATTATATGTTTATATTGTTTAGCCTTTGGGTGGGGGTACAACAATTCTCTCGACATTGTACTTGTACTTGACCTAATCACCATTGCTATTCTAACAAATACAGGTCTTGAATTTGGGATTTACAACGAATTTATCGAGTTCTTCCAGTTCTGATACAAGGTTGGCCTGATATGTGGCCGTAGGAATACGCTCCAAGACAATCCCTCACGAAAGGCTTGTCCTGAACTACCATGCAGAGCCAATTAAACGAGAATCTGCTTTGCCAATTTAAATCATTCCCACTCCCATCCCAATCAAGAGTCTGACGAAAGGCGTTGACTGAAATAGCTTTGCAAGTTGCACCCCCCAGTCCCTCCTCTTTCCCCCATCCACCTTCCCCTCCAGCCCCTCCTCTTTCCCACCTACATCCCCCCTCCAGCCCCTCCTCTTTCCCCCCACCTCCCCCCCTCCAGGCCGTCATCTTCCCCCACCCACCACCCCTCTCCAGCCCCTCCTCTTCCGCCACCCACCACCCCCCTTCCCGCCCCTCCTGTTACCCCAACCAACTCCCCTTCTACAACTCCTCCCCCTCCTCTTCCACTCCCCCCCCCTCGCCCTCCCCTCCAGCTCAACCCCTTGCCAAAGCACCCCTTGCAGCTCAAGCATCTGCACCTGCCACCACCGCCCCCCCCACTGCCTTTCTCTCCCTCATTACAAGCCTGAGAGGCTTAACAAGAGCCATGGACAGCCCCAAAGTTTCCGTCATGTCCACCCCTCCAGCTGTCCTCGCCTCTTCGGGCAGCTCGAAATCAAACCGCCGAACCAAATTCGCCAGCAAGCGGGCAGACATGTCGATTTCCAGGGTCTTCCCGAGGCAGCCGCGCCTGCCCGACCCAAAGGGCAGCAGGCTGAAATGTTGCCCGAGTATGTCAGGGGCAGCAGGGTCAAGAAACCTGGAGGGGTCGAATTTGTGCGGGTTGACCCAGACCGTTGGATCGTGCCCAATAGCCCAGTAGTTGATATTGATCATGGTATTGGGAGGAATGTTGTAACCCCCTAAGGTTACGCTGCCAGTTGTCAGGCGCGGAAAGAAGAGTGGAGTGACGGGGTGATGCCTAAATTGTTCTTTCAACACAGCCTGCAGATACGGCATCTCCTGTACCGGAAGCGAGACCGTGACACAAGATTCTCCTCCTGCCGCCTCAGTTTTGGCGGCCGCACTTGCCGCCTTGGCATACGCCGCATCCACCTCAGCGCGGAGCCTTTCCAGCACGTCCGGGTTCCGCACCAGCTCAGCGAGCGTCCACTCGACGGTCTTGGCGGTGGAGTCGGTGCCCGCTAGCATCATGTCCAGGGCGAGCATCAGAAGCTCCGTCTTATTGATCTCATCCTCCCCGTCGCCTTCCATCTCCAGCAACGCATCGACAAGCGTGGATTCGGAGGGCTTTTCTCCTTTCACCGCGAGCTGGCGCCGCTCCTCGATGCACGCGCGCATGAACCCGTGCAGTTGCGGCGTGAGGCGCTTCGCGCGCGTGTACATGCCGAGCGGGTCGCCGCCGTAGTCCAGCCACGGCACATAATCCGCGAGGTTGAACGATCCCGCGAGTGCGAAGCCCTCTTCGATTAGAGCAATCAGCATCTCTCCTTCCTTCTTCTCCGCTGCAGACCCCGTAGCTGGAGCTGCAGCCGCCTCGGCGCCGAGTTTCTCGCCGGTTTTTGCGGCGATGCGTTCGTTCCAGTCGATCTTCATCGCATCCTCGAGAATCGCCTTCGACGAGACGTCGGCCGCGCCGCGAATCGAGGAATAGCAGAAGCGCTTCCCGACAGTGAGGCGCAAAATGTTGTTGAGCGTTGCGCGAGTCAAGTACCTTCGTCACAAAAAAATTTGGCAGAAATCTTTCCTCATGAAATCCTAAAGCACTGCTTGTAGTATGTCCCAGGCACCAATGTTTGAGGTCTATCTTCAGAAATGTTCCACCGCGCAGGGATTGTTTGAGGTTTCGTTGTGAGGTTTGTAAGTGCAAACCACGTCAGGCTCGGCAAGGATTGCGCCAACATAAGGCAAACAATGCTCATACTCACTACAAGATTTGGGGAACTTTATACAAGAGGTTCTCTGTAACGAAACAAAAAGGTTACCACAGTACACCTGACTCATCGTAAATTAGAAAGACTTCTTATACAAGCATTACAGAAAAGATTTACAGCTTTTGCTATATGCGCGTCAGTGAGTGAAATTGTCAGTTTTAGGTATAGTGCCACAATATAAATACCTTCAGCTGTATTCCAGCTGATGTTTTGGAATGCCTTACATGTGAACAAATTCAATTTTACAATAAACTACCACTAATGCATTTGAGCAGCGTTTAGTGCAAGATAAAACAATGTATCCGCAATTGCAGCATGCATTACTGCCACTTAATTAGATCTACAAGACAAACGGGACCTGCACTATGCTGGCAACACACGCAACAAAGCTAGACAGCTCAGACAACAAAGTTAGCATAGGAAACGAGCACCAAAAGAGAGCTTACCTAACTTGTTAGGCGTTGATGTGACCGAAACCACGGGATATTGATAACTTCGACAAACATGGTAGAAAGGACAGGGGGATCGTAGAATGTTCCTGCACCCAGTGATGCACGTACCTAACCTGGAAATAAACCAGCACAAGCAGCCGAGCTTCACAGCATAGACCAAACACACGAAGACGAGTTAGGCAGAAAAGAGCAACGAGCATGTTACGGTGGACTTACCTAATTTGCATGATGCAGATGTTGACCGAAACTGTTTTGCCGTATGGTATATACTTCCGAAGCAGGGACAAATTCGAAAAGGCACGTAGAATGCTCCTGCACCCTGTTACAAACGGACTTCTCCTGAGGATATAACAGATACAGACGACGCATGTTTAGATAATCGTCGTTGGAATAAAAACATACCTGATCTCCAGACGACTGATGCAGGGAGGGTAGTTGTTCCGTCTATTACGCCGTCGCCATATTGACGCAGGCGGGATAAGCTCCTTCATACCGGCATGCTGCGCAACCATGTAAGGACCTGGCGGAGGGGGAATAGAAGACAACGAACAGGAAATAAAAAAATGGACTTAGTACTTAGAGCGCAGGTAAGAACGGAGAAGTGGAACAACTAGAGCAGTGCGCTAGGAATCTGAAACGAAGATCGGCGCTAGGGAGCATGAAATCTGGTAAAAATGAAGCTGAAATGAGATGGGCCTAAATTTTGTAGCGAGGAGGACAAGTCACTGCTGCACTGTCTTTCTGGGAAGGATATTGGCGATTTTTGGCGAAATGTTGTGCGAATTTTGCTTTGAGCTGGCTTGGTTGCATGCGTGTGGATCAAATAATTGGCTCACGAGGGACCCTGGTTGGCTCCGATTGGCTAACGACAAAGTTTAGTGTAGCCCTGAGCATACTTATCGCCCTTTGACAGGATGCGATAACTGGCTGTCGACGAAATTATGGGTAACCAAAGGCGAATCGTCAGCCACAGGCGCGTGACATCCGAGATGTATCATCCGATAACCCTAAACCACACACTGCACGACTGGATGTTGTCGCCGCGTCAGCGCTGCCTTATCCAAACTTCTGTCGCTGTAATCACGATTTTTATAGGCCCAAAAAGTTGTTGTCAACGTACACACGAATCCGTCCGGATTCTAAATACACACCCCTCCAGGAAACACAATGTGAAAGGGGTTCCATTGCTCGACCAGACAGTGACAGTGCATCTGCATTCCTTGTCCCGAAATGATTGCTTCGTGTGTGCTAACAGCTTTCTACGCCATGCCCGAGTGCGCATGCCTGGTGGATACGCCAATTGTTGACAGGTTTTGGGCGTCCCATTTTTTGTGACGTTCGCACTTCTATCCCGTCGTTACCACCCGTTTTGGTCACATCCGCAGTACTAGGAGTAGTTGCGTCGGCAGCAATCGCGTCGAGCATGCCGCGAATCTCTTCCTCTCGCACGGGAAGGCTCTCCTGCAGTTTCTTCGTCGACAGAAGGTGGAGCGTCGCCAGCCGTCGCATCTTTTTCCAATGATCATTGTCTGGTGAAAACGCGATGTTCTGGCCGCCCAAAGAAAAAATTGCCACCGTTTTAAGCACCGGGCGCGACGAGCAGAACTTATCGTTTGTTTTCATCACCTCGCAAGCGACCTCCGGCGACGACACGATCAATGTCGGCGTGGAACCGAACCAGACAGTCATGATCGGGCCGTACCTGTCCGCCAGCTTCGCCAGGGCGCGGTGCGGCAGGAGACCCAGCTGGGGAAGGTTTCCGAGGATGGGCCATGGGGAAGGGCCCGGAGGTAAGGGGGATCGATGGCGGAGGAAGGAGAGCAACGAGGTTGAGATGACAAGCGCGATGGCTGCGAGTATTGCAACGATGAGCGATGGTGATTGCAAGGAACTTGCTGTGATGGGCCATGCTTCTCCGGTGATGACGGACTGAGTGTCCATGTAGGCTCCGGGCTTTCCAAGAAGAAAACCAGATTGGAATTTTTGAATGTCAGTGCGCTTGTGCTGCAGATTTGAGATACTGTAAATGCCGGCCGTAGAGAGGGGGAAGGCGGAGACGAAAGGTTGGCTGGAGTGGGCGCCGATGAGGGAGTGGATGAAGATGGTGCTGCGCAGAGCGGTTGCACTACGGGCGTATTGTACATGGGGAGGAGAGGGACGGGGTGGTGGTGGGGGGGAGTAGGGGGGATAAATTGCGGCGTATGAGTTGGCTGGCGCCCTCGAGTGCCCAAGCCGAAGCAAGCATGGGGGGGACCTGGAAATGCGGCTGCAGGGGGCGGAGCCCTGTGAGGGGCAAGGCCCTGTCTCGGAGAGAGCGAAAAGGGGATGTTGAGCGCGGTTGGCAGAAATGGGCGTTCGAGGATTGTGGTATAGGATGCGATGAGATGTGCGACGGGAGGGAAAATGATCAGCGTTCCTTACCGGGCAGAGCATCACCTGATGCTCACCTCCTGCACGCGAAATTGCCTTGCACCGGATGGAAACCTTGCACCCGTGGGTTTTGTGCCGTGACGTTGCACCCACGTTACAAGCACGTCGACCAATACGAACCACAGAAACTGAAGTTTGACTGACGAGACCAAAGTCAAATAGTCAAACAATTGTTTTTTATAAGCCCTTTTTGCCCGATGCGAATTGACGAAATCTTCAAGCGAAGCGAGAATCGCTTATAAGCCCAGAGGGTAAGGCGAGGTCGGGGGGCTCAACCGGGCATCGTGTGTACACTAAATGAACGTGCAGTGCAGGTGAGTGGGCCTTTCCTTTTTGGGGAGGCAGGATGCACAGCACACGTTCTGGGGGAACGGTTACCCGCCCTGCTATCTAATTGGCCCGTCAGCTGTCAGAAAAGAAGAAAGCCGGCTTGACGAAGGGATGACGAAGTGACTGCACGTTTGCATCGTGGAAATGAAAGTGCTCGTTATGAGCTGTTAGGGTGCGTCAGATCCGTTACAAGGTGATTAGGCTGAAATTTGGTCGACCAATAACTATATCATTCGCCAAAGTCATGGTCGACTTCAGAAGCGACCAATATCCGGCCACATTTACAGGGCCGAAAAATCTGACACATTTGGTGGCCGATTTGCAGGCCACTTTGCAAATGTGTCAGATTTTCAGTTCGCCAGGGTGGCCGGATTGTGCGACGGAGTCGCAGATGCAGTACTTGTGTTATACGTTGCGTCGCACGAATTGGCGACGTCGCGTAGTAATTGTAGCGATTTCAGGTCGACAAATTGGTCGACTTTCGAGTCGTCTGCAAGTCGGAACTTTGTCGAATGCTGAACCGGCCATCAATTTTTTTACAAATGACACGATTTGACGAAATGTATGAAAAGTTGTGCGAATGTCGAAAATGTGTCACATTCGTTAATTTCGGCCGGCCTGGCTTTTCCGACAACAGATCTGACACACCCTTACGGGTGCAATGGAACGAGATAGCTATGATTTCACGAAGTGTAAGGAAAAAACCTTTTCCTTACTTAAGTTTACTAAACTTCGTACAACCCCAACTTTTGGCAGTGCACATTCGACCACTTTGCTTGCTGCCGAAGCAACCTCGCGTCGCCTTCGGCTTTCCTTTGCCCAACCTGCACCCAATCTTGCGTGCCCGAGGTTCCCGCCTAGCTAGGTTGTCCCGCTACATAATCGCGTGCTTTTTATTGTACCGTCAGTTCATTTAGTCAACAAGCTTTGTTATTTGTTTTCCGCGCAACACCTGGTATCAAAGCTACTTTCCTAGTTCACCCCGCTTTTCGAGGGTGGTTTGATGGCATGGGTGTGGATGGTGCAATGGACTGCAAAACAGTTGGTTGCATGGTTCGTTGATTCTAATTTGTCCAACTCCGACATTTTTTGCTTTAACTCGCCGGAAGGCCACGGATACCCCTTCTGCCCACCAGACGAAGCGTACGACTCAGGGATCGGGAGACATTGAACCGAATGCTAGCGCAAATGAGAGAGCTACAAGCAACATTGCAGAATCTCTCGGCAGAAGTGACAACGCTACAGGAAGAAAACACCGAGCTACGTCAGGCGCGAGGTGTGAAGCACGTTAGGGGCCGCCCGAAGAAAAAGGTGAAGGCAACAGTCAAGCGGCGAGCAACCCGTTGGATGCGCTCACACGTGACTTCGAAGAAGAAGATAGGCAGCGAGCGGCAGCGACGCCAATTGCAGTTACGACGATCTGGATTAAACCTGCAAGCCCGCTCCAGTT